AAGGCTATAGAGGTGTTTAAGGTTCCAAAAGAGTACTCCCTTGGAGTTTACGGTCCTAGGACCACTCCTTGGGAGTTTACGGTCGTAAGCCCCTTGACTTAGGCTGTGAACTCTTATGTACCCTCCAATCTTTGATTTTGAGGTCCTTGGCTCATTCCCAACAAGTTCTAGTGAGGGTATAAGGCTTCTTAGGGGGTTAAAACTTCATTTAGCATGTTTTAGGGGAGTTTACGATCTAAGCATATGCTTGGGCCGTAAACTCTATTTTATCCTTCAAATGATGATGTTTAGGTGTTCCAAGTCCGAAATAGTAAGTCCGAAAGTCATATCTTAAGCCTAAATGTGTTTTGGAAGTGTTTTGGGCTTGATTTGCATGATTAGAGGGTGTTTACGGTCTAAGCATATGCTTGGACCGTAAACCCTCTTTCAAGCCCTCAAACTTGAGGATTTATGGCTCAAACACTTCAAGGTCTAACCCAAAACTAGTTTCTAAGCTTAAAGGAAACATTTAGGGCATGTTCGGCAAGTTTTTAGGGGTTGACGGCCTAAGGAGGTTCTTAGGCCGTAAATTCCTTTTCCTTGTCTTTCTTGAATGATTTTTGTGCTATATCAACATACAATGGGTTGTAGAACAAGTTAGGATGAGAGAACTTACGATTTGGAGTGGAAAACTTGCGGTTTTTGGAGATGAAATCGGACTTGAGGAGAGAGAGTAGAGAGAGAAAGTGTGTCTAGTGTGTAAAAAGTTCTAAAGAGTGTCCACCTACCTTTATATAGGACATGGGTGTTGTACCCGGTATACGACTACCCGATACTTATGTTTAACGAGGTTTAAAAATTTTACCCGGTTAAATGGTCGTAATAAAAATAAACTTTTTCCAACTAAATGGAAATGTAATTTACGTGTTTTTATTTATTTTATTACGACAATAATAACATTAAGATGAAAATAAATTAAAACATTTATTTATTTGCCGGCCCCAAATTAATGGAACTTTTATAAAATAGAATATTCTATTAACGGAAACAGGTTATAATGACGGAAATAAATTTTTGGGTTGTCACATGTTGTAATTGGTTTGCCAAACACTACATCAAGTACATAATTATGAAGCCTTAAATGAAATTACCTGAGATGATAGGGATGTCCTTAGAAAATACTTTGTTGAAGTGTCAAAGGGGCAATGTCATAGAGCTAGGGTAACGGAAAGGGAAATGAACTAGAGGAACATTATGCTAAGGTATAGAATTATGCCCATGAAATCCCTAGATTTATGTAGAAGTAGGAGTGTGAGTAACTCCAAAAGGCAAGAACTATTTTCAACGATTTTATGTATGCTTTAAGGCATAAAGCAATAACTAGAATAGAGGGTGCAAGAATGTGATCGGATTAGATATATGTTTCCTAAAGGGATAAATCAAAGGGGATATTTTGAATGTTATTAGAAGAAATGATAACAATCATGTGCATCCAGTTTCATGGATTGTAGTAAACATAGAGAACAAAGACAATTGGACTTGGTTTTTACAGTTTTTGGTTGATGACTTGGATGTTGATGGTGGAAGGGGTCTAGTTTTCATTTTAGATCAACACAACGTGAACATATATAAGTTACAAAATTTGTCATTTATTTATTTATATTGACTAACCGTTATTAATATTTTATTTACTCGTTTCAGGGGCTTCTAGAATCTAAGAAATATATCCTTCCACATGTTGAACATTGGTAGTGTGCAAGGCACATTTATGCCAATTTCAGCAAGACTTATACAAGTTTAGAGTTAAAGAACTTATTCTGGATTGTTGCGACTACTTTTGTTGAAGGGGATTTTATGGCTAAATGGATGAACTTAATAAAATCACCCCGAATGGATATAACCGGTTGATGTCTAAGAATTCACACTCTTTTTGTAAGCCCTTTTTTCATAAGGGTATGCATGTGAGGCAGTGGAAAATGGGATTTCTAATTCCTTCAATTCTATGAACATAGATATTAGGGAAAAAATCACTTCTTACAATGTTAGAGGAAGTCATAATCTACATCATGTGTAGGTTTTACTATTTGGCTGATAAAGCTTCTAATATCTATAACCGAATCTTCTTCAAGTATGATAAATAAAATGAATGAATTTGGAAACAAGATGAGGGAAATACTTATCGTTAACTTGTTAATTTTGATTATTTCTATTATGATTAGTAGTTAATAATAACTTATTATTTTCAATTAGTATTTCTAGGAACTGGAAGTGATAGCAACTGGATGGTTTGTACTTCAAACAAGGTATAGATATGAATCTTACAAAGTTGATTTGGAAGATTACTGTTGTACATGTAGACTATGGGAGATATAAGGAATACCATGTTTTCTTGGTCAAGCTGCAATAAACTCCAGTCACATGAATCCACCTGGTTTTCTAAGCATATGGTTCCAAAAGGAGAAATTTATAGTTGTATATAGCACAAATATATCACTAGTAAATTGAAGCAACATGTGGGTGCCCACTAACTATATGAAGCCATTACCTTTATTTACAAGGAGAATGTATGGTAAACAAAAATCAAGAGAAAAAGGTATATGTTTAAGGTTAATGATTCCACGTTCCCAACTATTAGAGCCAGAGTTTGCAAGACTATAAGGTGTAGCAGATGTTTACAATTTTCACATAGCATGAAATCTTGTAAGAATGAGAAAATGTTCAAGGACCTTGCTCCACCTAAAAAAATAGGAAGAACAAAAGAGGGATTGAAATATAATACCAAAAAGATATATATATATATATATATATATATATATATATATATATATATATATATATATATATATATATATATATATATATAAGGAACCTCAAATCAAAGGAAAGCTAAGATTATAGAGAAAAGAAATAAGAAGAGAAACAAGGATGGGAAAGGAACAAAAAATCAAACAACTATAGAAGTTAATGCAACATGAGAAGATGTTGAAGCATTTGTAAAAGTTAATACAACTAGAGAAGAGGTTCAAGCAAGTACACATGCTGAAGAGGTTGAAACTACTATGTTAATGTAAGTGTTTAGGACAATATTAGAGCAAGTGAGGAGGTTGAAGCAATTGTACATGAGAATGATCATTATCAGGAAACTCAAGATGATATGTTTCAAGAGGGTTGTTATTAAAAAAATGTCACAAGGGTATTGCAGTATAAGGTTCAATCACTTAATCCTTAAATAAAACATCAATAATGGAGGCTAATAACAGGTTTCCAATTAAGTCTGGATTATACGTAAGCAAGCCTTGAAGAACAAACGACCAACTATCCAGTGCAAAGATATTAAAGTAAAGAATAAGAGAATAAAAAAGAGAATGAATATGATGATCGTTGTGATTCTTGATTGACAATGGGCATAAGTGTTAGAAAGAGTTGACACTCCTTTTACAGGACAAGGAGGTACATAAGACAAAACACAAAAAGTACTAAGAATGGACTGCAGATCAACTACCTGAGAATTGACACTTACGTCACTGTTGATCTTGTGCCCTAAGTCTTACATAAGAAAAACAAAAGATAACAGAATATTACATGTATTTAAACAACCAACATTCTCTTAATATCTAAAACTATGGAAGTTAAAGAATGTAAATACTTCGGATAGAAATATAACTCGAAAGCTTCAAAACTTCGGATAGACTATGGATCACTTATGTTTACTAATAATCTTCCCTTAAGTGACCTTAGCTATCCTTCTAACAATCAGGTTGCACTATCAAACGCAAACAAGTAAGCCTTTTGCAACCAAGCTCTTACTTATATCCACCAGGTGGCTTGCTCGATGAACCCTTTCTTGATATTTTCTGATGCTTGAGATTTGGCATATCTTGAAATAAATTTTTTGAGCACTTGAGTGTGAACCAAGTGCTTTTTCCTTACTTGGATGAATTCCTTCTTGTCTATGTCCTTTCTCTTGTATACGTAACCGAGCTCTAGTTCTCTAATAGGATAAACTGAAAGATGTTCAATCCCTTCCAAACCAGTGTTGAGAGGAGGAAGAAGATTTTCCATTTTGAACATAGGAGCTAGCTAGTTCAACTTCAGTTCGAGCATAGTCAACTACATAGTCTTTGATGTAGTTTAAAGTAGATAGATAGGCACTAATAGTAAGATCTGATGTTTGCTTATATTGGAAGTGGGCAGCCAGTACTAGACATTGTTGGGATTGATCATCGTAAAGTAACCATCCGAGATCTTGATCTTCTTCTGTGTATTTTAAATAATGAGATAGGAATGTAGTTTGCACTTATTTCATAATTTTCTTAGAACACTCATCCCACGTCCATTAATCTTCTTGATTCTCATCTTCGACCATGCTTCTTTGGCTGGCAATGCGTTTGTAGTATAGAAAGTCAGCAAGCATTCCCTTTCTACATGGATTTGAATGGCCATTGCATTTGATGGATGAAGGCTAGAAAACTTCTTGCATAATCTGCCATATAGTGAGATTGGGAGGTCAATCTTCTCTGAATCGAAATATGGAAGAGCAAAGCTTATGAATGACACATAGTGAACCTCATATCAACAACCTTCTGGGAAGTATAAAGATATGAACTTGATAGGATTCCGATTGTTCCTTATAGACTAGAGAATGAGACTTTCTTGAATTTCTTGGTCGATTTTTTCTTGAGACAAGCCCTCAATTTGGTCAAATGACTTCATTAGGATGATTTTCTCCACTTTAATTCCTTTCCCGTTGTCTTTCATAAGAGCTTCTAGAGTTGATTGATTTATGATTTTTTATGCAGGATGAGTCACCAACACTTGTGAGATTTGGGTAACCAGTTTGGGAGCAGGCAATCCATCACCAGTCTCCATATGAGTACCTTCATCTATTGGAGAAATGATCGAAGGATAAATCAAAATTTCCTTCAGTTGAGTAGCTCGGAAGGCATCTAGTGTAAGTTGAATTTTGATCTTGGCCTCTTGGATGCTTTTGTTGAGAGAGATAGAAAGTTTTGATGGTCATGTTAGCCATTTAATTTTTCTTCTTCAGAAATAATCTTTTCCAAAGGAGGATGATTTTCAGTGACCACTTGTATATCTTTGTTGTTAGCTTCTTCATCTAAGGATTCATCTCTTGGTGTGAACTTATTATTCCATTTCCATCCACTACTTGGTTCTTTTCCCACTCTTGTATCGGAGGGCCCAATCTTTGGTGAAAGCTCGACTTGTTCCTTTAGCTCTCCAAAATTGTCAAACACCTTTTGAAAACTAACATTGAAAATCTTGGTCAGATTCCCATAGGCTTCGGCGGTAGGAGCATGCTTATTGAGGACTTCTAGAGTTTCTTCATAAAATAGAATAACCTTATCAAATTTGTAGTTTAGAATATCCATAGAATGTTCAGCAAACCAAATCAATTTGATGGGAAACTATTGAAGCACTAGGTTTATTCCATCCTACAGTTTGATTTCTATCTCCAATGTCTATTTTTCTCACAATGAATATGAGTTTTCTTGATTAATTTATTGGTAGTAGAGATCGTGTCGTCATGATCCTTCAAAATCTACTCAATGGTGTTAATGTGATATTGAAGATTTTCCTTTTAGCGCTCCTTGGACTCCTCCATATAATTTTTCAATTGAAGTGAGATCAACCCATCTAATTGTTTTTCTCGGTCTTGAATAGAAGGAGTGGTAGACTTGCCTTCATAGATGGCTTTGATGACTATATCTAATTTGGAATCTAGTAAGCCCACTTAAGCATTTACGGATTCTACTTTAGCATTGAGGATCTTGTATTCGAGCTTGACCCTTCAACTGATTCAATAGATTTTTCTTTAACATCATTTTTTCCATCTTCATGGCCCTTTTAGTACATCACTGGCTAATAAAACTCACATCTCTACTAGCAGCTCCCCTGAGAAGCTTCACCCCTAATAACGGTCGCCCAATGTCAGTAAGGAATAAACCTATAGGAAGCTTCTTACCATTGCATGAAGGCCAAAATAGCTCATTTTTCTTGATATTCAGCTCAAGCCCCAATCATGGGCCTGCCACCCTAATGATGTCCAATACTCTGGCCACCTCCTATGAATCTCCAATAATGGTTCTATCATCAAGGTACCAAGTATGAAGAAAAAGCTTACAAGTGTCTCTAAATTGATGTATAAGTAGGTGCAATACAAGAACAAAAAGAAGTGGTTATAAAGGTCGCCTTGTTGAACCCAGTAGTGGACTAAATATGCACAAACTTGTTGCATGTCCATATAAGAATTCGACCCATAAGGAAATAGAAGGGCACCTTATCCTGACCTCGTGAAGTAAGACAAATCTATCCACTGAATTGAAGGCACTCGAGAAATCCACAGTAAGCATTGCAAGAGATCCATCATCATGACGTTCTCTCAACACCCTATTAACACTATGAAGTATAGCTTTAGCGCCACCCGCCACACCTACTCCAAATTGAAACTCATTAAGGTATTGTGTCATTTCTTTACCAACTCCTTTTATAGCAACCTTTGAAACCAAACACCTCCATATAGTGCCCACATCAATAGGACAAATTCCATTATCAGGTTTTAGGAGCGGAGTAAGAGGTGCAAACGCTACAAATTCTGCCAGACATGACGGGCATCTTCCCCCTAGCCATAGATTAACCCTGGAAGGGTTTGATCCGCTACAGGAAGAGGGGGAAATTAGGTCCCCGATATATTGGACTATTCAAGATCATTGCCAGGGTTGGCAAGGTAGCTTACAGGCTCGAGCTTCCTAAGGAGTTCAGTCAGATCCACATCACTTTTCACATTTCGCAATTGTGGAAGTGTATCCTGGATAAGGAGGTAGTAGTATCATTGGATGACATTCAAGTCGATGAGCACCTAAATTATGTGGAGAGGCTTGTGACCATTTTGGAGAAGGAGATACCTTTAGTAAAGGTACAATGGGAGCACCGAAGAGGGTCCGAGTGGATGTGGGAGCCGGAGGCGGAGATGCGGGAGCACTACATGGAGTTATTAACCGCAGCAAACTTCGAGGACGAATTCTAGTTCAAGTGGGGGGGGGGGGGATTGTAACGCTCCGACTCTCAGGTATTAATTTTATGGCTTTAATTTTCATAAATTGCAAGGTCTACTCGACGAGTTGGATGCCCTGACTCGTCGAGTAGAAACGGTTGGCCACGTGTTTAAGTGACCTACTCGTTGAGTCCAAGATAAGACTCGACGAGTAGGAGTTGGAGGATGAAACCCTAATTTCTGGGCTTTTGCACCCTATTTAAAGGGTCATTAGCCTCTGATGTGTGTAAAACCAACTAGTTTTAATCCTACTAACTTAGACACAAAATAAACACACGAAAGGTAGTGTACCTATCGATTAGTAATATAGTTCAAGCAAGTAGGGTATCGAACACAGGGAACGGTAAACAATTAAAATAAATGCTAATATTATCTAAATAAAACAAATAACAAAAGGGGGTTTTCTCTAGTTTTACAAGACTAGAAACTTAATTAGAATAACCAACACACAAATTAACTAACTAGCAACTAAAACAATTAATTACCAACTAAATTCAATAGTAAAGAGGACTTCTGTTTAGGTACGACTCATTTGTTCCCATGGATGATTTTAATGTATCAGATTAATTCTTCATTGGCTACCGATTAAGATAATTAGGCTCATGTTCGCTATTCCTAATTCTTAGAAAACAAATTAACTCAAGCAATGGCCAGTTGTCTAAATTAACGGGTTTCCTAGATTATTGATTCGGGTTAAGTAAGACTTGTAGTGGTTAACTAAAATGGCCCTTCAATTAACCTCTTGTCGATGTTCATCCAACAAGATTACACATTAACTTACCTATCTTCTAGTTAATTCTAGTTTCACGTTCGTTATTCCTAGACATACAACTATGTGGTCACAATAAATCATATGAAATTAATAACTAAGAGATGTTCATACAACTTAATTACTGATTTATTAATAGAAGAATAGTTATTGTCAACACATAAGGTTCTTTAACAAGCTTAACAAAACATAATTACCAATCAAAATTAATCCTACTCATAATCAATCCATGTTCACAAAATTGTCTACCCTAATAGAAGAATAAGTTTTTAGCTCATGATTGCAGTAAACATAAACTCAAAAACGAAATCAAAGTATGTAAACATGATTCAAATCAAAAAGTTACTAAGAATAAACCAAAATTGTCTTGATTCTCTTCACAATTGAATGTAGGGTTGATTCTTCAGTTCCTCACGACCTAGCAGCACTTACAATCGTTTCTCAGCCTCCTAGGGTTTCTCTCCATGCTATGATATCGATCTGAAAGTCCCTTTATATAGATTTTCACAAAACAGAGGCTACTCAGCGAGTCCAGTGACCTACTCGGCGAGTCCGTCACTTAAAACCCGTGTACGGCAAGTCAGCGCGTCCAGAATCACGAAAGTTCGATACAACTCGCCGAGTAATCGACCCTACTCTCAGAGTACGTTTTGAATCAACATTTTCTCAAAACACGAAAGTCATCCAAAATTGTGTCTATTTTCAGAACATTTTGAATCTCATCAATCGGAGTTACAGTTCATGAGATATGGCCAAAACACTGACGAGGGGTCAAGCTGTCCAGCAACATCCTTCTTTCTTCAAAATCCAAGATCCAAGCTTCCAATAGCTAGTTCCGCTTCATTTTCCTTTCGAGCACGTCTTTGTTACTGAAAATGAAATATTTAATCTAATTAAGCACCTTTTGTTCATTAAATGAGACAAAATCAACATAAAGTATTAAGATCATGCATGAATTTTATAACTAAATATGCTCATATCAGCCTCCCTTAGCCTCCTTTACAACCTCTTGAGAGTCGAGAAACCCTAATTCGTGTTTGTGATCCATTGTTGTGTGATTTAAGCTTTGTAAGGTGGATCTTAGTGAGAGAAGCTTGAAGATCAAGTAGCTTGAAGCAAGGAACGTGTGTGGATCTGAAATCTATCTCAGTTTAGCATCATTTGAAGGTATCAAGTTGTTACGTTGACCTTCTTTCCTTCTAGATCTCATTTTGTTGAAGATTAGCGCTTTTTAAGCATATTATGCAGCCATTCTTGAGTATAAGCCAAGATCTGAAGTTACAACTCCAGATCTGAGCTCACCTTGGTCTTTAAGTCCATAAAGTTTCCAGCTTTACCAAGTATAAACCCTTCCTTATGAGTTAAACCCCATTTCAAGCTTGGATTTGATGTTCAAAGTCTTTAGAGCCTTGCATGCACGTAAAGTTTGCAACTTTACGTGATAACCATGCCTTGGGAAGCTTGATCTGCAATATGGAGCTTTGGAGTAGCTTAAAATCGTCTGAATGAGTGTTGGACTAAAGGGACTTGACGAGTTGATTGGCCAACTCGGCGAGTCCGATGAAGATTGTCGTGCAAGGACTTCCGCATGGACTCGGCGAGTCAGCTAGGGTTTCCCTGACATTTGGACATGCATTAACTTAGCGAGTTGGAGGGAAAATCGACAAGTCAACAAGGGTTTCACAACTACTTGAGTTCTGGAAGGACTCGACGAGTCAGTGAACTATACTTGACGAGTCGGGTCAACATGGACTGTTGACCTTGGCCGTTAACTTTCACTTTGACCAAGGTTTGACTACTTGACTTCTGGGGCATTTTGGGAAAATTGCAAAACTTATGAATATGGTTCTATGGTGAATACATGTGGTGGATTTTGTGGCGGTGATCCAAGAGTTTGAGCTTAGCACTGCAGCGCGACAGTTGTGAGGTGAGTTACCACACTATACTAAGGGGTCTAAGGCACCAAGGTCGACCCATTGGATATGATATCCTAGCAGTTGGTAGTATGTTGAGTATGAGTTAGTGTTGCATGCTAGTTGCTATGACAGTTAGGTAGATCTGTAGGACTACCTATAGTATTATGTGATTATCTGTATGCACATTAGTTGTGTTATATGTCGACATATTATGTGGGATGGGTTGAGGTGATACTGCTCCGTGCAGTAACCAACAAAACTGGGAGCATTCTAGATATGGGCTGAGGACCAGGTGGGGTATACTAGACTCGTACCGTGGGCTCGGGAGCATTCCAGATAGGGGCTAAGCGAGACTCGTACTGTGGGCTCGGTGGCAATCCAAATGTGAGTTGTGGGCCTGGAAGGCAATCCAGAATCACACTGTAGACCCAGGGATAATCCAGTCTGTAAAGTTGTGGACCTAGTACATGCTGTTATTTGTATATATGTTATGTGCAGTGTATCAGTATTTTAGGGGAACTCACTAAGCTTTTGGGCTTATAGTTTTAGTTTATTGTTTCAGGTACATCAGGGGATCGCAGCAAGGCAAAGGCGTGATCATACAGCTCCTCATGTTTTGTTTATGTTCCTGGGAAAACTCCAATATTATACATTTTGAAAACAAGTTTGTAATGATTTAATGGTTTTGAAATGTTATTTAAAAGTTCAAATTGGCATGATTTTTATGGGTGTTACACCTTTACACGGCTGAAACAAACTATATATATACCTAGACCTAATTATAAAGGCCCAACCCAAAACCCAACCGAAATCCTCATTAAGCCCACCAAAATCACATGGTGATTTTGCTCCAAACACCACCGAAATCATGGGGTTTTCGGTCCTAGACCGAGAACTCTAAAAACTATCAAAAGTAAAGTATAAACCACAAATCATGTCCTAACATCCATCTAGCCTTCTCCTTCACCCATTGTTTCTGTTCATTGTATTATGGCCTAAGTCCTAATCACCGCTCTATTTTATCTCCAACCATTGAAGAAGTTGTTGAACATCATAGAAGTGGTTTTGTATGTTATAGGTAGGTTACTACAAATCACAATTTGGTGAAGGTGGGTGGTACAAATCCGGTTGAATCAAAAATTGGGTGGATGATAATATGTTTTAGAGGTTTGTAAATTTGGGTTGTGTGTGTGGGAATTAGAAATCGGAAAGGGATTGTGTATGAATCATGAATCGGAACCACGATGAAGCTGATGGGTTAGAGCCAAATGAACATCCTATGTGCTCATGCAAAACCTAATGCTTGGATCTAGGTTTCTCTATTGTACATGCAATTCATCCAAGACTTATAAACCCTAAATCTGGTATGTATATTTCGAAATTGACATAAGAAATCAGATCTAGATGATTACCTCTTCAACAATGGCTTGAATCTTCTTGTCTTAGAGCTTAGAGTCATAATTGTCACTCCTCTAATGGCTTACAAACACCACAAGCAAGAGGATTCTAATTGAGAGAGAGGGGATGGCACAATTTCGGGTATGAAGACTCCTAGGGTTTCAAGTGGCTGAAAATTGGATGCCTTGGGGTCTTATTTATAATGATGTTGCTAGGGTTTCAGTCAAAATCCTAATGGACAACTTAGGCCTTAAGCAATCCAAGGAAGCTTCTGGAATAGGGCCTCTACAACCGAAATTAGGATGGACACATCCCTAATTACATCCAACCCTAGTCCTTAAGCCTTCTCAGCCCAATACTCAACTATCACACATTTGATAGTTTAAGTCCCCGTTATTTAATTAATGTCTTTTAGCCACAAAATTAATTCTTAATTAATTCTTGTCTAATATTAATTAAACTGTATGATTTCTCCTTTAGTATATTATTCATATAATATATTAATAAACCATAATAACCTCTCGCTTTGATAAATCATCCTATCATGTTGCTTTGGTGAAGGCAACCCAAAAGGACCATGCACAACTGGGTCAAATACTTACCAAATATAGTTACGACCTTAGCCACTAATCTAACAGAAGCTTCATTAGGTTCGAAGTCGTTGGAGAAAACAGAGGAGGTGGTGCGGTGAATCGTGTCCTGCTCAATTGTCTTACAATAAAATGCACTTTGGATTCTTTATCGATTCCTCACTGGGCACCAAAGAGGTTCAGGTTGCATCATTAGGTTTGATTTTGTAATTTTTTTGGTTTTATTTTTTTTAGCTTAACGGGGAAGATGAAGGAAACGATGAGAGGGGAGCAACTATTGGTCGGATATAACTGAAAGGGGTAGGGGAGAGGATCATGGGTGTGTTAATGTGGTTTTACATTTCCTTTGAGTGGTTGTACTTTAATTAACTATTATTAATTTTATTGTTTAAATAATTAATAAATTAAAAAAATAAATAACATATTAAATAAAAAGGAAATAGTTGGGGGTAAAATAGTCTTTTTATGTATGACAGGGAGAAAACACACAACAAAAATGTATAATAGTGATCGTCCGAGTTAAAAAAAATAGTTATGGACCAAACATGGAAATTACCCCAAACCACATGGACCATCCGTGTAATTTACTCTATAATTTTTGTAATTTACTCTATAATGAATTGTAAAATTGGTCCTGTGGGAGATAGAGTTTCGTATGTGTGGTTGGGCGGAGGTTGTAAACCCTAGGATTAGGTTTTTCCTAGATCTGAAATGTGCCATCTACAATGCATGGTCATCTCATGATGTACGTGGTGACATTATTGCCTGTGGCAACGGAGTAGTGATACATGCGACAATGAATGTTAAAGAGGGCATCAGGCATCATTGAGCGTGGATGGAGGGTCATTACGGAGAGCAGAGAAGGTTGATATCCTTTGTGGTCTGGTGGTGCTTCGACAAGATGTTAGTGCTTTTAGCGGTGCTCCAAAGAGAGAGAGAGAGAGAGAGAGAGAGAGAGAGAGAGGTGGCTCAGACGGGATTTTTCGACGACAACAATAGGAAAAAGAAGAGTTAAAGAAAATTGTGTTAGTATATTAAAAGAGAAATGGATGTATGAGGTAGGTTATTACTTATCAGGGGTTTTATTTTTTTATTTTTTTAATAATAAAAATATTTAACTACATAAAGAAATAGAAAAAAAAAAATGAGGACAAAATAGTTTTTTTTAATATATTCAAATTTTCAAGGGACCGATTTTGTATGAAAATTTCAATTTTAATCTAACCGTACCAAAAAGTTTTTGAATCAAATTGCGCTTTTTAGTAAATCATATGAACATTTTTGCAATTTACTCTTTATTTTATTTACTATATTTAATCATAAAAATATATAGTATAATTTTTGTTAGTATAGTTTCTTTTCCTTGGACAAAGGGAAAAGAGGAATAAAGTCGAGGCCAAGCACCGACCCATGGTTCCCTACTACGGAATGTACCGAAGGGAAAAAGGAAACGCATGGAAGATTTCGAGAAGAAAGTGAGAATATCAGAAGGCATGGACGTTGATCAAAATGGCTCCAACCACCACCAAATCGTCTCTTTGCTTCGCCAATTTCTCGGAGTTCAGCAGCGAAGAGCGGAAGCCTACGCAAAACTCAAAAAGTTCGTTTTCAAAAACTTTTGGATATTTGTTTCTGTATATTTTCAATTTCTGCAATATTGCTAGATCAATATATTTTATCGCTCGGATAAATTGATATCTAACGAGTTTTGGATGTCGATTGCGAAACATTGCGTTTTCATCGTTTAAATTTCATGTTTTTAGATTATTTTTCTTTGACAAATATTGATTTGTTATGATTTCATTTCTTCCAGTAATTAGGGACTAATACATGATCTACTTCAATATTAATACTACCACTTACATGAATCAAAGAAGTAATTACAAATACAACTACGATGTCAAACATGTTATCCCAAATCAGTTTGGGGTAAGCTACAGATTTAACAATTGGAAATTAGGGCTTTGTTCATGATTAACATGTTCTTCTATGCTATCTATTTGAAATAGTGATGTCAAAATCTATGATTGCAATAAGATTCATACAATTTGAATTTAATTTGATGAAGTATATGATACAAAGTCATGAATGAATAAATAGTGAATAGTAATTTATTTATTTTCTGAAACAAAGCCAAAGAGTTATTTTTTTCATTGAAGAACATAAACTCTTGAAATGTTTTAACTTATAAAACATACCATTGGTTAACAGGGGCTTTACTGAATTGGGAGATTCTGCTTACCAACAACTTTGCAATGAAATCACACTTCAATTTAATGACTGTTCGAAACAAGTAAGTGATATATAGCTTCCTTGTTCTTATTTATGAAAAAGACGTAAATGCCCTCCTCATCACTGAAAAGAAATTAAGTTGATGAAAGTTTCTTCACAGGTGCATGCATTGGAGTCGATATTTCTGAGTCCCAGTTATTCAAGAAATGATTTAGCTTCTATACTGAGGTCTGTTCAAGTTCAAGAAAAGCAAAAGCTGCATCTGGTAATTTATATACTACTACAATACTACTCATATTTTACTTTATACCCTGCAAAAGACATGAATGCCCTTATCATCCTCATCATTGAAAATATCTTTCTAGAAATCATAAATGATGTCTTTTGGGATAAAGTGCTAAATGAACAAAGACTGTTTCTTCTGAAGCGTAAATGAACCGTTTGAATGATGGTAAATGACCGTTTTACCCTCTGTCTAGAAGTGATTCTGAATTTCAGTGTATTCGAAAGCCGTTATAAATACTAAATAAACTTTCTGCTCTCCTAATCTCATCATGAAAAACAACTATACATCATTTTTTTTTTAACTTAATCTTTATAGAATGACTTTATTTGGTTAAACCAAAAAACATGGCTTAATGTATTAAGACACTAATCCTTTACCTATTTTCCCTTCTTTTTTCCTCACAATTTCTCCTCGTGTTAAAGTTGATGAATATTGTGTAATTTGTTTTTTTGTTTTTTTTTTTTTATTGGAATGTAAGGGTAAAATGGTAATTTAGTCTCTTATTTAGACGATTTATTCAGTTTAGGAAAGAAACACACGTTATGTATGCAACACTTTATCCAAACTAACATCATTACTCAATACTCATTTAACCACTTTACCAATACAAAACTTAAAAAGAAATAAAAACAACCCCAATTCTTTTTTCCTTAAGCCTCCTCATTTTCTCAATATCTTTTAGAGTTCCATCCACTTCATCATGTATTTTAGTTGGGTATTATAGGGGCAATCTCGGTATATCTACTTTATTTTGCAACAGAGTATTTAAGAGAGTAGAGAGGAGGAGAGAACATCTTTTGTGAAAATCTATGGTTTAGTTTAGTGCCTTTTGGGAGAGTCTGAGGCTAGATTCGTGAACATTCTATATACCTTTTAAATTGCAGGAAATAGTCAAATGACACTTTTGGTCCCTGTAGTTTCAATTTTCCGGAATTAAATTTTTGGTCCCTGTAGTTTTTAATTTGCATAATTACATTTCTGGTCCCTGTAGTTTCAAATCTCTGGAATTGCACTTTTAGTTCATGTACTTTTTAGAGTATATTACATGAATGCCCCCCCTATGGTTTAGGGTAATTTGTGCATTTGGTCCCTAACATATTTTTTAACTCGAAAGATCTCTATTGTTTGTTTTAGTTACGCGCTCGGTCCCTATCTTTCCTAAAAATACTATTTTGCCCTTGATTTTTTAATTTATTTAAATAAACACACCCCTAGGCCCTAACCCCACCCCTCACCTTATCTTACCTACCTGCCATTTTTCCCTGTTTAAATAATAGTCTTTTTAGGTAAGACAGTGACTAAGCGCGCAATAAAAATAAACAGTAGGGACCTTCCAAGTTAAAAAATAAGTTAGGGACCAAGCGTGCAAATTACCCCAAACCATTGGGACCATTCGTGTAATTTACTCTACTTTTTAATTTGCAAGAAGGAAATAAGGATGAAGTTTTTAGTTTGCATGGATTAATTTTTGGTCCCTGAAGTTTTATTTTTCGGAATTTACACTTTTGGTCCATGTAGTTTTCAATTTGCAAGAAATAAGTGACTTACATTTTTTTTTTGACTCTATAGTTTAAATTTTCCTGAATTACACTTTTGGTCTCCAAAGTTTTTAGTTTGCATGAATTACATTTTTGGTCCCTGAAGTTTTAATTTTCTGAAATTGCACTCTTGGTCCATGTAGTTTTCAATTTGCAAGAAGTGCATGACTTACACTTTTTTGGTCCCTATAGTTTAAATGTTCCAGAATTACATTTTTGGTCCTTGAAGTTTTTCGTTTGCATGAATTACATTTTTGGTCCTTGAAGTTTTTCGTTTGCATGAATTACATTTTGGTCCCTGTAGTTTTAGTTTTCCAAAAATACACTTTGGTCCAAGTAGTTTTTAGTTTGCAAGAAATGATTGACTTACGCTTTTAGTCCCTATAGTTTGCAATGTTCTGTACTTTTGGTCCATGTTTTTGATATTTTTTGCAAGAAAACTAAATTACAGTATGGAACTATGGATCCTTATGGTTTCTATAATTCCCTATTCTTTGTTTTAATAAATATGTCATCTCTCTTAAATTACACAAATAATATTATTTTATATTATTTTGAGTATTCTCAATACATTCAGTGAAGCCTTGATTCTTGTTTTCTTGTTTAGTGATTTTTATATCATCTTAACTCTGTTCATTGTGAAAAAAACAGACAGCAACAATTCAGGTTTTGAAAAAAGCTGGACGCCCCTCAGAACGTTTAGTGAGCCATGAAAACTGCAAATTTAAAAATCACACGCAACACGAATGTGTTCATGTTCATGAGATAACAGAAGCTGCTGGAACAGAAGAAGCAGAAGCAGATGCAGAATATGATAATGCAATGAAGGAAGCGATTCAAGGTGTTCAAGATGCAGTCACCACCATTAATGAACATTTGGAAGAAGTTAGGTATGAAATTGCTGCTCTTGAAGCAGAGTGATTTTTGAAATTACTTGTTATTTTGTGTTTTTTTTTTATTAATCCATACTTTGTTTAGATGTTTTCGTACATATATACAATATTTAGTTATCTAGTTATATTAAAGGTTGCTTATTTGTTTGTTATGTGATATATATATATATATATATATATATATATATATATATATATATATATATATATATATATATATATATATTGTTTATTATAGCATTCTGCTTTACTTTCTTCATTAGTAAGGTATTATACTTTGAAAAATCTGCCCAATTATAGCATCACAATAGTTTAATTTATTATTTCTTATTACGACTTTTTATTCAAAAAATCTACTAAACTATAGCAGTGAAAATTCATTTGTATTTGGATGACAGTTATAATTGGTAGATTTTTCAATGAAAGTGCATAACGGTAGGGGTATGTTTTGAAATTAGAAAACTGTTTTTATAACATATATAATTTCTTTATTTTATTAACTTATTATGATATTTCTAGAATTCTAGTATCAATTACAAATTTATATAATGTTCTTTGCTATTATAATAATTATATATTGTGAAATTGATTAAATATCTTCTTTCTGATTTTCATAGGTTATTGCTTTAACAAATCTTTGTATTCGTTTGCTATTTTTTTTAAGCTAAAAGGAAAAAACTGAAAGTTTGAAAACAATCTAATCGAACCTAAAAAATCCAAAATTATTGTTATAGTTATTGGTTTAAAAACTTATGGATTTGAAAGTCCAAAATTATTTTATGATTAATGTAAATTGTTGCAGGATAAAATGTTTGTTTATGCAAAGGCATTTCATATTTTTCTTAATGTGTACAACATAATTTATACTAAATATGCAATTATGTTTCTCTCTAAGATGCGGCACTAGTTATTTCAAATTTTTTATAGATTTATGTAATGATGTTTTGTTTTTTTTGCCAATTATGTTTCATTTTTGAGCTGCGTCAACTAATGCGCACCATGTACCAATGTTTTTACTAGACTAAACATGTTACGATTATGTTAATTGTGAAGATAAATAAACCCTAAAAGGGTTCAATTGATGGCATAAAAATCAATCAACTATTTTTCAAGTTAATCTTATAGTTTAAAGCGATTATACAAGATGTAATAGAAGCTAATCCCAAGGTTCCCCTTTTTAGCTAAAGTACATACTATATACTTATCTGTGACGAGTCTAGAATAGAAAATTATATGGTTCTCTAAACAACTTTAACTGGGTCGGTTCAACAAAAAAAATACTTTTTCAACATGTATAAAAACTAGTAGTTAAAGGACCAAGCTCAAATCAGACATTCCCCCAAAAAAAATTGACTAATACCACCTTCGACATAGAGTTACTTGGTCTAAACCAAGGTTGAGCAAGCAAGTTTATGGTCTGAACTATGAAAGATAAAGCATCTATTTATAATAGAAAACTCTTCAATACTTTATATTTGGAGTCGATGTGAGACTATTAAGGTAGGTTCTTTAATATTTTAAGATAAGTCCTAAATATTTTTTATATATTAACTTGTAAAAATTTTAAATTTAGATGGGTCTAGTGACCCACTTTTGCATACACTAGCCTCGCCTCTAGCTATGAGCCTATGAGGAGGTGACAGGTGGTCAGGGCCTTAAAAAAAATAAGATCCTAATTTGTAAAACAAACAAATCTATTTTATATACATTATATATTGTTTTATGTAAATAACAACATAAACATTTCTTATTTTAGATGGTTAGGAGGTGTACCATCAATCCTTTTAATTTCTACTTATCGTGTGACGCCCCAACCTTCCGTTTTATTTTACAAGCTATGATCCTAATTTGCTTTTCTAATTGAAGTTACATTAATGGTCTTTGAAATTTATCATTTCTCTGCAACACCCCGTCTTCATTTTCTTTTAGATTGTATTTTCCTGAATTTACAAACCCACCCTCCTCAAGTATCAAAAACACATTTGGATCATTTTAATCAATTTCATTCACAGATTAGTTTAACACCTTTCTATTAATGTGGTCGTTCTAAAAGAAAATCTTAGTTCATACTTAACAAGTAAAAGGAAACTCCACCATCAATGTCTTAATCAGCTTCAAGTTATAATAGGTAGTGCTTAAAATAGACCTAGCAAACAAATTTGGAAATTAGTTCATTTTGGTAGGATCTTTGGATCCCGATCCGATCTTACAATATGTAAAACAATTTTATGTAAGATGACTAGTTTACATTCAACCTTCCTCATATTAGCATTTTCTTTTGTTCATGAATATCTCAGGCAAAAAAGATAAGGTGGCAATGAGAATCCCTAGCATTCGGTCACAATTCTTTTATGGAGACGACGACTGCAATCCATAGACAAATAATTTCTAGTTACTCAATATGAGTTTAGCTGGAAATCAAATCTATGTATACTATCGAGTTGTTTAGGCCTGCACATTAAAGTCTCGAGTTAGTCTAAGAACGATTGATCTATTGGGGGTCTAGTCATAAAAGATCTGACCTTTTCTCAGTATCAGGTAGTATTGAATTGTTGATCCGGTTTTTTCTCGATCCTGCCTTTTTGGACCAATCATAGTCTTTTTTCGGTCTTGTCTCATTGTATTTGCATGTGTCTTTTTTAGTTTTGTTTTGTGGGTCTTTTTGTTTGGTTTTATGAAGTCGATTTTGGATTTTCCTATTAAAAATATTTGATTAGCACCAAAATGATAATTAAAATTATTAAATAAGGAAATTAAATTTTAATAAAATAAAGAAGAGAACAAGTTGTATAATTTATTATTAAAAATACATTAAATTTAATAAATAAATTTTATTCGGTTCTATTTAGGGTTCAGTCACATTTCATTTGAAACTGGTTCATTCCCGATATTTTTCCAGAACGTGATGTCTATATTTGTTTAAAAGTTCAAGCAAATACTTGGGATATGGTCAAAGGCCCTCAATGGGTTTGGAAGAACCATGTTCTTCCATGGATATTCATTCGGCCCAACGAATTAATAACAAGAAAAGATACAGAAGCCTTATCAGTTACTTTTCCCTTTACAGGTACTTGTAATTAGTTGTACATCTTAAGTTTTTAACTAACCCGATCCTATATGAAACCCGACTCAATAAATTGCGCTCTTTGCATCGCAAATTCTAGAATACTCCACAAACTTGTTCCATTCATGTTAAAGATCCACACCCAACAGTTAAGCAATGAAAATAAAATTAGCATCATTTAACAAAATTATTTCTAAAATGAGTGGTTTATCATCTTATTTATTAACCCATAAAATATTTCATAATTATGTTTGTGTAAATTACTCGCCCCAACCATGTAAAAGATAATCTTATACAAGACTTTATAAACTTATCAAAACAAACAATTCAATATCACATTATTATATTATTACAAAAGGAACTTAAATTGCATCATCTTATTCGAGTACAACTCAAATACTCGAACTTCTGTAAGACTGTAACTATTACAGCAAACAGTTTAACACCAAATTACCACATTGCCACTCGTGGAACTTACCCACCAATGTCGATGGACTTCACTTCCGGCTTCTTCTCTTCCGCCTTGGGCACGGTCACCGTCAGCACGCCGTTCTCCATGGTAGCTTTCACCTCTTCCATTTTTGCATTTTCCGGCAGCCTGAATCTCCTCAAGAACTTCCCGGAGCTCCTCTCCACCCTATGCCACTTGTCGTTCTTCTCCTCATGTTCCTTGCTCCTCTCTCCGCTTATCTGCAACACCCTTCCTTCTTCAACCTCCACCTTCACCTCCTCTTTCTTCAGCCCAGGTATGTCCGCCTTGAAAACGTGCGCCTCCGGCGTCTCCTTCCAATCGATTCTGGCGTTGGTGATTAGTGCTGTTTCGCGTGATGATTCGGGTAGGTTGTTGAGGACACTTGAAAAGCCCTGGAAAGGATCCCAAATGTCGAGGGAGAAGGGATCGAATACGTTGCTCCTTCTGCCTGTAAAGAAACTTGGAATGATCGACATGACTGAAACTTTAGACGAATATTTGATCTTCGGATTCTGACACTATGAAATCGCAACTCGCAAGTTCTCTTGTTTATGAATGTGTTGCTAGGAGGTCGATCGGAGATCATTATTTATAGGAGGGAAAAAGTGATCGAGTGGGATTTAAATATTTCTAGGCTTGTCTTGAAGGTTGGAGACTGGAGACCGATACTTCTGAAAGCTTCCAGAGCTTCAGAGAGAAAAATTGGCGATGGAATGGACCCACCGGGTTGATCTTGGTTTTGATGGGCCAAATAGATTGAGATTTTTATTAGGCCCATTATGAAGTTCAACTTTGAATTTCTGTATTCCATTGATTTATCAATTCTAATGCGAACTTCTATTTTCCTAATAATGTACTTATTTCACTTTAAGAAAATATTACTTGATTATATTTTGTATAGAAAATCATTTTGTGATATAAAATATGTATTTTAATAATATAAATATGACTAGATATTGTATATTAAATTACACTATTGTTGTTGCAATGAAACAACTTGGATAATATTGAGTTAAAAAAAGTAGAATTTTAGATAAAATTTATATGTCGGGTCCTTGGACTTCATCGGGGGAATTTGCCCATTCATGGTTTATTGCAATTTGTATATTGCATAATATTTTACATTTTAAATGCATTCTTATCGAATGTTTAACTATTATATTTAAACTTTATAGGATTAATCTCATAAAAGATTTTATATATTTTGTTTTTTTCGATTAAACTTTAACTTTATTTTTATCTGAAAAATAAGTTGTATTTTTTTTCATTTAAAAAAAAAAACCCTCAAAGCTGTCTTTTTCCGAAAAACCCCTCAAACTTCTAAATGTTTCCAAAAAAACCTCAAGTTTTTTAGTTTTTCTCGAAAAAAAACCCTCGTATTTTAAAGTATTTTTAGAAAAAAATTACTAAAAGGGGTGGTGGGGGACGTGGTGGTGGCAGTGGTGGGGCGGTGGAGGTGACAGTGGTGGTGTAGATGATAACGATGATGGTGATGATATTTTTTATAATAAAGCTAATTTACAGTATGAGCACCTACAGTTTCTATAATTACTTATCGCTCTTAAATTACACAAATTATCTTCAGTGCATTCAATGAAGCTTTGATTCTTGTTCTTGTTAAGTGATTCTATATTAACTCTGTTCATTTTGAAAAAAAAACAGACAACAACAATTCAAGTTTTGAAAAAAGTTGGATGCCCTTTAGAACGTTTAGTGAGCCATGAAAACTGCAAATTTAAAAATCACACGCAACACGAATTTGTTCACGTTCATGAGATAACAGAAGCTGCTGGAACAGAAGAAGCAGAAGCAGATGCAAAATATGATAATGCAATGAAGGAAGCGATTCAAGGTGTTCAAGATGTAGTCACTACCATTAATGAACATTTGGAAGAAGTTAGGTATGAAATTGCTGCACTTGAAGCAGAATGATTTTTGGAATTACTTGTTATTTTGTGTTTTTTTATTAATCGATACTTTGTTTAGATGTTTTTGTACATATATACAATGTTTAGTTATCTAAATACTATTTGAAAGTTATATTAAAGGTTGCTTATTTGTTTGTTATGTGATTTATATATCAGATACAATAGTTATATTTTTTTTGTTTATTATAACATTTTGCTTTACTTTCTATTTTGTACTTTGAAAAATCTACCCAATTATAGCATCACAATAGTTTAATTTATTTTTTCTTATTACAGCTTTTTATTCAAAAAATCTACTAAATTATAGTAGTAAAAATTTATTTGTATTTGGATGACAGTTGCCATAACTGGTAGATTTTTTAATGAAAGTGCATAACCGTAGGGGTATGTTTTGAAATTAGAAAATTGTTTTTATATCATATATAATTTCTTTATTTTATTAACTTATTAAGATGCAACGCCCCGATTCTCATGTATTGTTTTAAATAAGATGTATTGGGTTAAGCTCTACTCGACGAGTTGATTGCCCTACTCGTCGAGTAGCAACGGGGTGGGATTGCGTGTTAAGTGAACTACTCGACGAGTCCATATTGGGACTCGGCGAGTAGGAGCTGGCAGATGAAACCCTAAATCCCAGGGTTTGTACCCCTATTTAAAGGGACCTTAGCCTTCTTTGGACCTCTTTACAGTTCTAAAGAGTCCTTGAGACCCCTTATTCGTGTGTGTGTGCGCGCCTTGTGTATGTGTTGAAGCTTGAAAAGAGAATTTTTGGAAGGAGAAGACTTGGAGGATAAGGAGGTTGGAGCAATTAGAGTGTGGAAATCAACATTCATCTCAAATATCATCTTCCAGAGGTACTTAAACCGTCATTTTCCTTATAGATCTCCTCTATTGGTTGAGTTTTAGGGTTTTCTTGGAATATCAAGTTGGTATGATGAGCTATGGGCTAGATCTAAAGTTGTAACTTCAGATTTGGACCCTATTCGGATCCTAGAAGCATAAAGTTATAGTTTTGGTCGTGATTGAGGTCTCTCTTGGGCATAAAGCCCCATTAAGAGCTTAGATTTGGCATTTGGGGCATTTAAAACCATGCATGAACATAAAGTTTGTAACCTTACGTGACAAGCATGCCGTAGAAGCTTGGATCTGTGAATTGGAGCCGCTGCATGGCTCAAAATAGGCCTGTATGGAAAAAAGATTTAATGGACTCGGTGAGTCGCAAGGTTGACTCAGCGAGTCACATGAAGATAAACCATGGACTCGACGAGTCCGATGATGATTTCCATTGACTCGACGAGTTGAAGAATAACTCGGTGAGTCGGATGAGTTTTCTCCTGGATATGTATGTGTGTGTATCCGTCGAGTTGCAAGGAGGGAACTCGAAGGGTGGCCTTAAAGTTTTTCCGGGAATCGAAGGAACTCGACGAGTCACCCTAATGACTCGGCGAGTTGGAATTTGCTTCAAGGAACTCGGCGAGTAGCCGAAGGTACTCGGCGAGTCGAGGTCAACATGGATTGTTGACCTTGACTGAGGGCTTTGACTTTGATCAGGGGTTGACTAGTGGGTTATGGAGTACCTTATAAGGTTAAAGACTTACGAACATATTGTGCTATAGGTGGTGGAGCCTGTGTCAAGTGATCCGAGAGTTGGAGTTTACCTTCCGAGTCGACATCTGCGAGGTGAGTTATCCTCACTATATCGATAAGGTCTACGACACCAAGGTCGGCCCTTTAGTTGTTATTGTTATGGTATGCTATATGTGGTTATAATCTGTTAGATCGGAATCAGAGTAGACAGTATGCTATGCTTTTATGATCCGTAGGGATTGGTATATTAGTGACCTGCTAGGTCGGTACTCTAGTTACGAGAGAATTCTATGATTGATGACTAGTGATAAATATGCTTGATGTTTATATATGTCAGTATATGATAGTTATGCGCACATAGTATTTGCTTGTTGGTTGGGTTGAGGCGGACCTACTTTGTGCTGTAGGCCAACACACCCTATGAGCGGTCCGGGGAGACTGTAGGCCCACGTGGCGGACCAGTCATGCCGAAGGCTCGGGATAGATCCAGATAGACTGTAGGCCTTGTAGGGCGGTCCAGTCAGGCCGATGGCCCAGTATGCATGTTGATTGATTGATTATTATTGATATAGTATTGTTAGTGTGGTATTGGTATTTTGGGGGTAGCTCACTAAGCTCTCAGGCTTACAGTTTTCAGTTTATTATTTCAGGTACTTCAGGAAATCATGGAAAGGCGAAGGCGTGACTGTACCGCTCCTCATCCTTATGTTATTAATTTTGGGACACTCTGATGGATAATGATTTGAAAACATTTTTGTAAACAATGCTATTTGGTTTTTATTTATGATTGAAAAATTTAAATTTGGCGTAAAATTTATGGATGTTATATAAGATATTTCTAGTATCAATTGTACACGAGTTGGTTATGTTAGGTACAAATTTATACAATATTGTTTTCTATTATATATTGTGAAATTGATCAAATATCTTCTTTATGATTTTCATCGGTTATTACTTTAACAAATCTTTGTAATCGTTTGCTATTTCTTTAAAACTAAAGGGAAAAAACTGAAAAAGTTTGAAAACAATCTAATCGAACCTAGAAAATCCAAAAGTATTATTATAGTTATTGGTTTAAAAACTTATGGATTTGAAAGTCCAAAATTATTTTATTATTAATGTAAATTGTTGCAGGATAAAATGTTTGTTTATGCAGCGACATTTTATATTTTTCTTAATTTGTACAACATATTTATACTATTTGTGCAATTGACACTAGTTATTTCAAAAAAGTTATAGGTTTATGTAATGATGTTTTATTTCTTTGCCAATTATGTTTCATTTTGAGTTGCGTCAACTAATACGCATAAGTTTTTTTGCCAGTTATGTTTCATTTTTGAGTTGCATCAACTAATACGCATCATGTCTGTAACACTGTGAAATTTCAAAACAATTTTTCATTTTAAATTAATAAAAATACTCCAATCACAATTCTCAAAAACGTGTATCAATTGTTTTTACATAACATAAGTGCAAATCAAAAACCCCAGAATCTCAAAACATCTCCACCATAAGTGTGTATTGATCATGTTGGCGTCTTCCCGCGATCATCACTTGTACCTGAAACACATAACACGCAAACGGTAATCAATAATGCTTAGTGAGTTCCCCAAAATACCATGTACATCACATACGCCTTTCCAAGCCATAACTCTATGGGATCTTCCGATCCAAGTGTCTTAGGGGATTTCCATCCCATAACTCTGTTGACCTTCCGGTCCATGCTCTGTTGACCTTCCGGTCCATATCATCATACTCATATCACAACATATTACATATACAACATACATCACATTTTCATCATACACATAAGACCTCCTTGTCACACATAATTACCCCATCGGGTAAAGCATAGTGAGAAGACTTATCTCGAAGATGTCGGATGATCACTCGCGCTCAATCTTCCGACCTGGCTTCCTCCTATAGTATAAATACATCTCTAATTAATACCTCCCCGAGTT